TAAAATCGATTTGTAATTGGGGTGTTTTTTTGTTTCGATATTTAAAATAATTACAAATTTTCCCCCCTACAATCCGTTAATATTTACGAAAATTTCGTAAATATTAACGAATCGATTCGTTAAGATGGCGGACCCCCGCGCGCATGCGCAAAACATTTCCGAAGCTTACGTTATTGCCGCGGGGTCGATTCGTTAAGGGGGCTCCCTCAACTTGCTTCTAAACAAGGGGGATGGACTGGATGACCTTTGGGGGTCCCCACTGGGAGTTGAACTCCAAAGCCCTTAGAGGAGGAGGAGGAAGAGGAGGAGGAGGAGTTTGGGAGTCCTTGGTGAAGATCAGAGGATGCTTGACATGGGAGGGAGGAGGGAAAGGGGAGAAGGAGGGAGGGAGGCAAGGAGGAGGGTGGCCTTGGCTGCAGGGGAGCCTGCACCATGGAAGAAGGGGGCATGATCCAAGGGAGAAGATGCTCGGAGGAGGATGGATGCGTGGATGCGTGGATGGAGGGAGGATGGAGGCAGGCAGGCAGGCAGGCAAGCGGGTGTTTCCCTCCTTCCCGCTCTCACCGGTCTCCTGCTCCCCGAGGAAGGCATCCTCCTCCTTGCGGGAGCGGAGGCAGCTCTCCGAGCCCCCTCCTCCTCCTCCTCCTGCCGCCTCCTCCTCCTCCTCCTCGGGCAGCTGGGGAAAGCTGGTGATGCTCATGTATTCCACGGGCGAGTAGGCACCCAGGCTGCTCTGCTGGCTCGCCTCCTTCTCGGCCGCCGCAGCCGCGGCTCCAGCAGTCGCTGCGCTGCTCGCCATCCTTCTGCCGGGAAGGGAAAGCCAAGCCAAGCAAGCAAGCAAGGAGGCAAAGCGCGCTCGCGGGGGAGGGGCGGGGCAAAGAGAAAGGGGCGCCGGAGCGCCGGATTGGCTCCCAGGCACCAGCAGCATCCTCCATCCAATTTCCGAAACGGGCGGAAACTCGTGAAAAGGATGGGGGATGCCGCTTCGTTATTTTAAAACCCTTCCGGGTTTAAAAAAGTGTTTTGTTATCGTTTCGTAAATGCAAAAAATAACGAATGTTTAACGAATTACGAAATTAACGAACGAAACCGCACAGGCCTATTATAGAAAACCTCAAAGTAGAGGAGGATAGTGTTTTAGTAACTATTAGGCCTGGGTAACAACGGAAAAAATTGTTTCTAAAATCTATTTGTATTTGGGGTTTTTTTTTGTTTCGATATTTAAAATAATTACAAAATTTTCCTTTTAAAAAGTTCGATATTTACGAAATTTCGTAAACGGTAAAAAATTAACGAATCGATTTCCGAAACAATAACGAATCGATTCGTTAATGGCGGACGCGACCGCGAAATACGCTAAAAAACCTCCAAAACCTTCTGAAGCTTCCCTCTCCCTCTGTTGTTGACTGTTGGTGTGATATTATAATTTTTTTTCACTAATTAAACCATAAAACTGGCCCAGACATGCGGAAATAATAACGAAACGACCTCAAAACAATAACGAAACGAATACAATATCGAAATACGAAGCATTTACGAAACGTTTTTGAAAATTCGTTTTTTTTAATAATTGCTCCAGAATGGTTCGTTATCGTTTTGTAATTGAAAAAATTAACAAATTATTAACGAATTACGAATTAACGAAACGAAACCGCCCAGCCCTAGTAACTATTGATGTCACCTCACTTTACACCAACCTTCCATTAGATGAGGCCCGTACCACCATAGAGAATGTCCTCCATAACAGAACCAAGTTACATCCACCCACAC